TTTTTTTTTTTCTTTTTCTTTCTGTAGGTATAAAAGCAAACCTAGTTCTGATGAGACATTTTTCCTTTTTGTCCCCATTCTTCCTGACTCTTTGCCGATCCCGTGTGTTTCAGGCAGTCTCAGAGGAAGGGGTGAGTGTGCTGGTTCACTGTTCTGATGGCTGGGACAGGACCGCCCAGGTGTGCTCGGTGGCCAGCCTCCTGCTCGATCCGCATTACCGGACTCTGAAGGGCTTCATGGTGAGTGTAACCCGCCTCGCGTCCCACGCAGGGCCTTGAACAGAGTGGACAACTTGCGGCAAATTTGTTTCCCTCTTGTTCTTTTTCTCTCAGTCCGTCGGCAAGATTAAGAGGCAAAATGTGGAAAATGGTCTCGGAGTAAAGAAGGGAACTGAATTTCTGGGACGTTGGGACCCATTCGATTTGGCACTATTAAATGTGAATTTGGGGGCGAGTACACAAGATATTCAGTAGTTTGCAAAGTAGTGAGTTTTACATCCTCTTTGCTCATAACTATTTCAAGTTTGAGGGAACACGTGAACATGTACTAACAGGAAATGCTTTTCAGAAAAAAATACTCGGAGCAAACATTCTCTGTATCGTGCACGCAAAAGGTCCTTGAGAGGAAAAACCGTTTTCATTGACTGCTTTTGTTTTAGATAGTCCTTCACAATTCTGGAGTATTGAGAATTTCAGTGTTTTTGTGTTCTTTGTTGAAAGTATGAAGTCCACCCTTTCCTAGATTTTCACCATTTAGGTGTGTGTCACAGCGTGACCTGTCATGTCCAAGTGCAGAACGTTGGTGTAGTTGCCTGGAGTGGTGACGCTCTGGCCGAGGTGGAACCCTTGTCTTCAAATGACGGCAGGGGCTTTCTAGTGACTGGCAGATTGCCTGGCTCTTGCCTCTTGAGCCATTTAATAGAAAGTGCTCCAGTGGATCCTGAGCCCATGCTGGGGCGAGATGCTGACAGGAGCTGAACGTGTTGCTTCTACTGCTAGATTCCCTTCATCGAGTACTGTCCCCCGGCACTCGGGGGGCAGGAGGGAAGAGGCAGAGGCAGGTTTTTGTGATGGGCTGTCCCTCTCTTCTGTTTTTGAAAGTGTCTGAGAACTTCCAGTGACCTGTGATAGCATTGAGACTTCAGTGATACTCCTGCTTCAGACCCCTCCCCTGGACCGAGGTTAGGGTTCCTTCATTTCCATTTGGACAGCCGAGGGTTTCGGGGTCACACGCTATTTCACGCCAGCCTCCGCCACTGACTCCTTTTGATTCTGCCCCATTAAATTTATGCGGCGTCAAGGGCAAACTTCAGCCACTCCATATTGTTTTCAAGGGACATCTCTGGCCATTTTAGAGCATTGGTGATAGTGACAGGATTGCTCTCTAGTATTAATTTTTTTAAAATTCAGACAACTGGAGATTATACACTCATGTTACCTCAAATCCAAAGCAGGGCTGAACTCCTCTATTATGTCCCAGACTCCCATCATTTTACAGTTTTTCCAATGTGTAATAAAGATCACAGGAAAATATTCCCAATGGTTTCTTGTAAGGACGTTGGTATTTGATGTAACTGAAGACATAATGGTCAAGAGACAGGCTTTGGTGTAGAAAGGGCGCGGTTATGAGTTAGTATCAACCACTTCCTACTAGCCTGATCTTAGGAGTATTTAACTTCTCTTTCAGTTCTCCCTTCTGAAAAATGGGTGATTATACTTGTCCCACAATGAAAAGAGATTATACGTGAAGTAATATGAACAGTGGTTTGTAGGAAGCACCCACTGGTGCTGTTACCCCCTTTTCAAATATCCATTCCCATTTATTTTTCCTGTGGATGACCTTCACCTTTGCCCTTCTGCTGTGCATATGCGTCTCTACATTGGTGGATAAGGAGTGCTTATTCATTTGCAGGTTACCTGAGGATAGTCACTACTCCAAGAATCTTTGAATCCTTCAGCATTGTTGGTTGGGGTCTCTTATATTTCCTTGTTTGCTTCTCTCCGTGATACTTATATTCTTTTTTGTGTAGGTATTAATTGAAAAGGACTGGATTTCCTTTGGTCATAAATTTAATCACAGGTAAAAAAAAAAAAAACCAAAACCTTAAAAATCTGTTTTGATGTTTAGGATAGAAAGATCTATTTCTGGAGTTTTCAATTGAGTGAGGGGGAAAATAGCCTTATTTTTAAAGTTTCTTTGTGGATTTTATTCAAAAAGCTAAAATTTTGTTGTATATATCGTATCACAGATAAATGAAGTTCTGAGCACTCTCAGTATTTATTTGTTGGGCAGAACTAATGTTAAATTGTTCCAGAAAAGACAGAAATACTTCTTTATTCATTGGCCTAGAAAGGATGAGCTCTCCCTTCCTCTTACCACATACGTTTGATTTATTAAACTATTCCATTTTCGAAGTGCACACACTTTCTGAGCTGGAAGATGAGAAAGGTCTGTGGAACAGTCTCTCTTTGACCTTTCACCCTGGGAATGAACTTGGGCTTGTCCTGGGTATTTGTGTCACAGGTGAAGTATGTCCCAGATGTCTGAGGAGAGGGAACATAGCCCAGTTTTGGAGCGAGACAGATCCAGCCCCAAACCCAGGCTGTGGCATTTATGAGCTGTGTGGCTTGGTCCTTAGTGTGGGGTCTCCCATCTGCAAAATGGGGATTCACTCCCTGTTCCAAAGGGTTATAGCAAGGCTTTTTAAAAAGTGTATGTAACTCGTCTAGCTCCTTGCCTAGTTATATAACTAAGCTTTCAGTAAACAGAAGCTGTTGTTTCTAGAGCCACCAGCGTCCTTTTGGTCAGTGTTGATAATGCCGGACATGTGTTCTGGTGTTTAATCTCTGAATAGTGAATGTTGTAGCTGGTGTAATCTAGTCTTATGGTGCTAAGAGTTAAATTTTAGGCAATATGGTAATAGTGGGTTAGGTATTTGACATACACTTTTGTTTCAATGTGTTTTCCTAAAGTAAATTCTAACTTCATGGAACTGCCCATATTTAATGTTCTCATTTTTGCATTTAGCATTAATCATTCATTCTGTGGTTTTCTGGAATTCTTTTTTTTTGTAATTATTTTTCCAGGAAAGCACAATGAATCTGTTTTACAAAAGAGAATATTAAAGCCCCCAAACATTTGACATTTTTTTTAAGTAGGCACCAAGCCCAATATGCGGCTTGAACTCATGACCCTGATTAAGATCACATGCTCTACAGAGTCAGCCAGGTACCCATTAAGTAACCTTTTTAAGATCACATTGTTATTTTCAGTTTTGGGGTTCTATCTTCTAGGCAGTTAGCATCTTTCAGACAGAGGATATGGACAGAAAGAAGGTGGAGACAGCTGAAGACTATCAGGAAAGAATATTTAGCCCTCCTCACCCCTCCGCCTTTTTAATGCTTATTTATTCTTGAGAGAGAGAGAACACAAGCAGGAGAAGGGCAGAGAGAGATAGGGAGACACAGAATCTGAAGCAGGCTCCAGGCTCTGAGCTGTCAGCACAGAGCCCCAGGCAGGGCTCAAACTCGAGAACTGTGAGATCATGACCTGAGCCTAAGCAGAACACTCAACCGAAGCCACCCAGGCGCCCCTAGGCAACTCTTTATAAAGTTACCAAGTTGAGCGGAATTAAAACTTTTGAGAAGTTTCCAGACAATTTCTAATGTTTTCACTCTTGGAAAAACTCCTAAACTGATGATCTTTGCTCATTTCTATTCCTAAAGTTGGTTATCCATTGCTGAGAAGATGAGGTTCTATATTATTTTGTATTTGATGGCACCCAAATCATCCTTTTGAATTGTAAGATTCACATAATAGTGTAAAGGACTAGGCAGTCTTCATTTAAAGGTCAATATAAATGTGAGGGAGGAGATTGTGATGTATTCTTGGAAAACCAAGATGGGAGATCTGAAGGCAGATGGGAATCTGGCCACACGGAAATAACTTTGTGATAGGTTTTGACATTGCTCTAGAAATACCCTGAGATACTTGGGAAGCCACAGTTTTTTCAAGTTGTCTTTCTTCCTCTTCCTTTCCCAACAAAACAGTGCAAAAGTGAAAAACACTCTAAAGTTGCTTAGACATTTCTTCCCACACTCCCACAAGTCACTGATCAAAATGAAGTCCAAGGTTTACTTCAGAAGTCCTGATGTACTTTTAAATCTTGAATGAAAGAATGCTCTTCTGCCGTGGAAAGTTCCCTTGAATTTGATCTCTTGCATTATGTCCCTTCTCTACCCAAGACCTTCAATACAAAGTTTCTCCTGAAAGTGGAATTTGTTTTTTTCCATTTCTGTGCTCCAGGTCTGTAAGGTTTATTTAGAAACTGAGGTTTATTTTGTGATTGTTTTTGCATTTATAGCTTTCTCATTCCACAAACCCAACTTCGTTTTATAGATATGGCAATCTAGATGGTGATCCAAAAGAAATCTCTCCAGTTATCGATCAGTTCATCGAATGTGTCTGGCAGTTAATGGAACAATTTCCCTGTGCCTTTGAGTTCAATGAGAGATTTCTGATTCACATTCAACATCACATTTATTCCTGCCAGTTTGGAAACTTCCTATGTAACAGCCAGAAGGAGCGACAAGAACTCAAGTGAGTGCTTTGCCGTTTAATTTTTATCTAAGGATTTTGTGACTGAGAATTTCAGATGGCCTTTTCAAATTCCGAAGACTGTTGTAGCTACATATCTGTACTGACAGATTAAGGTTACTTTCCTTCTCCTGACACCACTTCATACCTGGTTTGGTATCAGCACCCGACAAAGTGAGGTACGAGCTTACACACCCCAGTGACAGCCATGGACAGGGCCGTAGACCTGACACACGAATACTGAAAGGAAACTTCCTGGAGTCAGAGAAAGTAATTTTTGAGTTTAAAAGGAAACAGACATCTGCAGTGGACATACTCTCATAAGAAGAGGTGCAAATCTAACTGGGAAAGAAGCAGATTTGAAACCCAAGTCATTCTTTCATTAAGATTAAAACTGTACTGCTTTTATCGAGAAGGAAGTCCATGAAATGTAGCATTTAAAATAAATTACAAAGTCAAAAGCTTAACAGCAGAGTGCTTTATGAACTGCAGTGACAGAAGAGTTTTGAAATTTTCATAAGATAAAATGATGTTAACTGTAGTGTATATAGTAATAATCAGATTTAATTTTGGAAATGATCAAGTAAAATCGACTCCACTGGTTTTATGCTGTCAAAACAGACAGTGTAACATTCACTTTTTCTCGTGAATACTGGGTGGTTTTTCTCTCGGGAGCTTCCAGTGTGATTCCTGATTAAATGGTAATGATTTCAACGTAGCAGAGGGCATCCTTCAAGCTCACCTGTTTTCCTAGACGAGTTTGTGGTTTGCTGTGACGAACCAGCCAACTTGATGGTGTCTGCTTGGGTGTGAATCCTGGCTATTCCACTCACTAGCTATGGGACTTTGAGAAACTGCCTAATCTCTCTTAACCTCAGTTTCCTCATCTGTACAATGGACAGATCTCATAGGAGTTCAGTGAGGACCGAATGAGAGAAAACAGGTGAAGCATTTAAATAGTACCTGGCAAATAATACAACGTCAATGACTATTTGGAGAAGAATCCCCTCCCCCCAATTACATAGCAGTTTTATTTTACACTCAGAGGAATTAAACATCTTGTCCAGGCCAGTACAGGTAGCAGAGAAGTTGAGACTGTTACGGTGCTCTCCTGCTGACTCATGAAGACACTCAGATTGTCAGTTTCCCTGCTACAGGACAGGGACACTGGATATACACGTAACAATTAGTGGTCCCTTTCCAGCTTTGACAATTACATATCTACGATTTCTGTAAACCAAGACAGATAATTTTCAGGCTTATTTTCTTTATAACAGAATTCAAGAAAGAACATACTCTTTATGGGCTCACCTGTGGAAGAATCGGGCCGACTACATGAATCCTCTATTTAGGGACGATCACAGCCAGACCAGGGGAACCCTTCGTCTCCCCACAACGCCGTGCAACTTCCTGTACAAGTATGTAACCCTCTAGGACCTTACTAGGTATGGTTATGAACTTAGATTCTGCCACTGTTTAATATTTGGAGGCCAAAGCATATGAAACACTGAGCTTCAAGGCTTTTCTTTGGACATAAAAACACACCAAAGAAGGATGCTTGTTAAGTATGTGATCTAATATTCTTGCCTCTTCTTTCCCTCTAAATATGGAACTGTCTTTAGAAGTTGGTGTTTTATAATAATGATGCTTGAAAAGTGTAAGTTCCAGTATTACTTAAAAGCAAAAAGCAGGGAGGGAAGAAGAAAGGAAGCAAGAAGGGACAGAGGAAAGGAAGGATGGATGGAATAAACCAAGTGCCTTGTAAGTTAGATGTGGAATCACAAGTTTAGGTGGTGACCATGATTTACCTTCTTTCTCTGCTGAATTTCCTCCTACTCGAAGTATTTCCTTGTGGAAGTCAGTTATTTTAAGACTGTCTATATTGGGATGGGGAGAGGAGGGTGGCATCCTATATACTCTATTCGAGCTGCATGTTACACATTTTAGCCTTTGGCTTCTTCTCCATATGGAAGTTTTATGATGTGGGAGGATGTCTCAGAGGTCAGCAAAAAAGACAAACACACAGAATCAACTGAGAAACCACATTCCTTCTCCCTGCTCACCCCCAACATACTTAGTGGCTTTTCTTCCTCTACAGTGTTTTTCCTCCCTCAATTTGTGTTTGTTCTGAATTATCTTAATTATTTTGTCAGAATTCTGAAAAAATGTTAATTCTGCCACACTAAAAAGAAAAAAAAAGTCTCCATGGTTTGTGTAAAATAGCAGTCTTGAGAGCTGCTGAGACACATAATGCTCCTAATTCGTTAGTAATAGCCAGTCAAGTACGTCATTGGGGGTCAAGCACTGTTCTAGGCAGTGCTAGGTTTCATGGAGAAAACCATGAATGGCACTAAGTCCCTGCCCTCAAAGTGCTCTTCTAAGTAAAATGTGGATCTGCAGACATCCTTGTGATGATACTGTCTCTTCTCATCTGCATTCCAGTATGCTTTGTTGTATAGGATTAAAACAAAAAAAAAAAAAAAAA